TCGTTGCACAATTCAAACGGGATCAAAAGATCATCTTTCTCTCTCCATTGACTTCAATACATAATTTTTCCAAAATAAGGTCCCATGGAGGTCCACCGGAAAGGGAGGGACTTCGCCTCTCTATGTCTTCCACAAGCAACACTCCAATGGCTGATAGCTCCAGTACCGCACGAAACATGTTTTCGATGGACGAGAGTGAAAATGGAACGCACATGCTATTTGTTGTTTGTTTATATCACGCAGTCTGTTCTTCTTCTCTGTCTTTCGGTTGTTGCCTCTTTTGAATGACGAATACACACTACCGCCGCCTGCTGATAAGGATAGTTATTGCCACTCACGCATGCGCAGTTCGTACGTGCTCGGCTGAAGTCTTTGCGGTGTGTTCCAGTGCGACACATGGCCAAGACGCAAGAGAACACGGCGACGCAACAGTCGGCGTCGGCGAGTTCTCTGGTGACTGCTTGGTGTGTCAGGGCCTTTAGAGAAAAAGTCAGCCACTCCATACGAAACAAGTCATTTACAATGTTTATCCATTCTCCCTTTGTTGGCGGATCTTTCACAAGCCATTTTTTGGTAATTGCCTTTTTGCTGGCTGTCAGTAATATTTTAAGAAGATACTTGTCCTGAACACTAAATTCCACTGGTATATTAGCTAAATAAATCCCATCAAAACTGTTTGGAATCTCAAAGCCAAGAATTGAATTTATTTCCGATAGATAGCCAATAGGGTTTGATCACTGGACAGTTCCAGAATATGTGGAAATGATCAGCCATAATATTACTACACTGCCTCCAGCAATGTCCAGATTCTGGTCTGCCATTCTGATGGTATTTTATTCTTGAATCGAATAATATTCTTCCATGAGAATTCTCTCCAAAGGCCAGAGCTGGAGGTGGTGGATTGTATTTTACATATGTTAGACCAGGCATCCTCAAACTACGGACTCCGGTCCGGATCCGGACCGAACCAGCACTGTCTCCGGACTCTGAGCAAATTATACTTTTCATATGTATTATCTCTCTGTATTATATGTGAGACATCGCCACAACGCATTCGCAACGAGTCAAAATTCTCCGCTATGTCCACTGCAAACAGCGCTCTGCATGTCTGACTGTTCCACTGTGTTCCACCTGTGTGTGTCAACGCTTTGGTCCAATCACATTCAGCATCCAGTCAGCGTTTTTTCCCCCCAAACAATCTGCGAATCAGAGGCACAGTAGGGCGGGTCTTCGCGGACTGCGGGTGGGAAAAATGTGTGTGTCTCTTTCAACCTGTCTAAGTCAGAGCGAGAATTAAAACAAAAACAAAAAAATTTCAGAGCGAGAGTTAACAGCTCATCTAGTTCCATCTGTACTGTAGCTAGTAGCCTAGTTTCACCTACCGGGGTGGCAACTGACACCCTCAAAATAGGCCTTGCCACCCCAGCTGCCACCCCAGTTGGCAGCTTTGTTTTGAAAGAAAAGTTGTGGCTCATCGGACATTTATGAGAGAAAGTCTCTAATGTCCGAGTGCAAGTGAATGCAGCACAAGATGCACGTCATGTAACCCCTCCCCCGGTCCTGGCGCGAGCGTGGACATACGATTTGGCGGCGATTTCATTTTTAACTGGACGGCGCAAAACGAGAAGCATTCGGACCCAAGCACTGAAGGAATGAGTTATTTGCGGTCTACAATGACAGAGAAGAGACTGTCAGTGTGGCTGTACTCAGCATTGAATCAAAACGCACTGAAGCTGTTGATCTTAATACGTTTGTGAGGCGTTTTGCTGAACACAATGGTAATCGCCGCATTCAGCTGTAATAGACATGTCAACTTGATGCTCTGCTCACGGATGAGCATACACAACTATTAAGATGATGACCTTACGTGTGTAAATATATTTTTTTCTTTGAGGGGGTCTGCCCCCAAAAAACTGTTTTAAGTCCTGAGAAAGTCAAATAAGACGGTGTTTAAAACTACACTGCCCAGCCAAAAAAAAGTAACCACTTTGATTGAACTAGGCCAGTAGGTAAGGACTTTCCACTGGATAATAACTGCAGTATAAAATAATGCATGACTGAAGTGATGGAGACCATGTTGAAGGCAAACAAAAAGAGGAAATAACAGGTAAAATCAAGCAAATCCCCCTCTCAGATTGCACAGCAACCAGAAGAACATAAATACTGGCTGGTGATTTGATTCATCAGCTTTGTGATGGAATAAAAAATGCACAGTGCATTTCCTTAGCTGTGGGTGAGTCCACTGACACCACTGACAATGCTCAGTTGCTGGTGTTTGTGAGTTTTTATGATGAGGCAAAGGGGGAGTTTGTTGAAGATGTGTTGGGCCTGACGAACCTCAGTGGACACAAAAGGGGGAATACATTTATAAAGCAATAATGGGAATGCTGAATGAAAGAGGGTGCAGCTGCCTTTATTCATAACTGTGCAGCTCTTACACTGCGACTCTGAGGGGTCAAGCACAGACACAATAACAATGAAAACTGCTGCATACAGATTATTTTTGTTTTTGCAACCTCGTGTTAAGAATCTTGTTGCAATTGTTTAAAAGTTTGAATGACCGTAATAAACGGACCTTTGTCTTATTGAAACATTTATTTTGGACCTTTAAGATTTGTATTTGAGTACCCCTGTGTTAGACCATTCCTCTTCTGTAATAGTAATATTAGCTTCTACTTCCCATTTGGCTTTCACATATAGGGTTGAGTGGTTCTTGGCGGATTGTAGACAGGAGTATATTCTAGAAACCAGTTTATTTTGGGTGTTGTGTATGCGCCCACAAAAATGTCAATCAGGTCAAATTCGAAAAAAATATATAAATGGTGTTTTCTGAAATGCTGTAGCGTTTTGTGAAATGCTGTAGTGTTTTCTGAAATGCTGTGGTGTTTTCTGAAATGCTGTAGTGTTTTCTGAAATGCTGTGGTGTTTTCTGAAATGCTGTGGTGTTTTCTGAAATGCTGTAGTGTTTTCTGAAATGCTGTGGTGTTTTCTGAAATGCTGTGGTGTTTTCTGAAATGCTGTAGTGTTTTCTGAAATGCTGTGGTGTTTTCTGAAATGCTGTGGTGTTTTCTGAAATGCTGTGGTGTTTTCTGAAATGCTGTGGTGTTTTCTGAAATGCTGTGGTGTTTTCTGAAATGCTGTGGTGTTTTCTGAAATGCTGTGGTGTTTTCTGAAATGCTGTGGTGTTTTCTGAAATGCTGTGGCGTTTTCTGAAATGCTGTAGTGTTTTCTGAAATGCTGTGGTGTTTTCTGAAATGCTGTGGTGTTTTCTGAAATGCTGTGGTTTTTTCTGAAATGCTGTGGTGTTTTCTGAAATGCTGTGGTTTTTTCTGAAATGCTGTAGCGCTTTCTGAAATGCTGTGGCGTTTTGTGAAATGCTGTGGTGTCTTGCACTTCAGGGCCACCGTACTTTTTGAACATTAAAGCATGGAAACATGTCACAGTAGAGGCACAAAATCTCAATATCAACTTGAACATGTTTTCCCTTATGACATAAACACGCACATCTGTCTTGAGATTTAACTATAAAATACTAGAACTGTCAGGCAAATGTGCATTGTGAGTGTGCAACAAGTTTGACAAGGATCCCTTGAATTAATGATTAAAGAATTACAACAAGGGTACAAAGCACAAAAATAAACTTCACAGTGACAAACTGTCATGTAATCGAGCCTAAATATATCTTGTGTATATATATATTTGTTTTAAATGTACTTCCTTATTAGCCACAGAAGATTCAGTATACAGGAGATGAGATTTTGAAGAATGAACAGACGTTTGATGTTAACTGTGGCTGATTCTCATATCACACAGAAATAAATGCTAGAAAAATACATGTTAACTTTACAAGCCCTGCAGACTATCTCATTGTGTTGAAAGGTAGTGTGATGTTGAACATGACTCCCTGCTGTCAGTTCATGTGCAGCCCTGGTAACATTAGTGTGAGAATAATACACACTTCATGAGAACACACTGCCGCTCAGTGTTTACCTCTCCCACACCGCTCTGGTTTCTGGAGGTAACTCATTAACCCTGACATCAGTGATGTGCACGGACGTGTTCAATGATCAACCCGTTGCACCGTGTGTCTCAGGCAGAACAAACAGCGCTCTGCAGGCTGCGGCTCACTGAGCGGCTCAGTGACGCTCCGATTCCCTCGCCCCCTGAACGCACCACGCATCAGACCAGCCCCCCTCCTACTGAGTGAGCTTTACTCTCTTGTTTATTGTTCCACACAGTCCCCGAGACGATTCTATTCCTGCCTCACATCTGGGGGGTGAGGAGGAGGGGGGGGGGGGGGGGTCGAGGGTCGCCCCCTCTCTTTGGTCTGCTGCGGCATCATGGGAGACATGGCTGTTAGTTCATGAGTTCAACACGGGTCTGAGAGTCAGCTGACATCCTGTTCGTCACACTGTGTGTGTGTGTGTTTGTGTGTGTGTAATGCCTTTGTCAAATCTTTAAGACTTTAGCAGCGTCACTTCTTCTTCATGGTTTGAAGGCTACACTTTAACAAAAAGTGTGTTCACATTTCAGCGTGTGAAGTTCTAATGTTGTCAGAAACTGTCAAGTAATTGAAGTAATGGCTTGTATTAATCACATTACTCAAATCCTCTTTAGAGTGGGTCACCTTTTTAGTTATTTATTTAATCGATCCATGGGGCGTTATAACTTGCCATCACCACCCACTGCTTTGCTAGTGCTGTATTTACTGTGATTAGCATGTAGCTTGTAGCATGTTAACAAACAGTGATCGTTCCAATTGTGGTTTGAATCAGCAGGTGTAGTGTAATGTTTAGATTATTTGTGCATATGAATCAATAAAACAAAAAAGGAGGAATAAACTATAAAAGAAGAACATGAAAGACCACCTAACAATTACATTAATTAACATTTAATCATATTTTTCTGCCCTGATTTCATACACTGTATATCACAAATCAGTGTGCTCAAGGCTGTTAAAGATGTTCACTCTGTATAACTGGACCTCATTGTGTGTGCAGGCTCCTGATGTGTGATGGTGTGCGGCTGTGACGGTGTTGCTGCTTCTCGTGTCCCATTGAAGGAGGAGGACTGCCCCCCCCCCCTCGAAGCAGCACCGTCGGTGAGTCTCAGCAGGAGAGAGGGAGGTGTAAATCTCACCTCCTCCCCCCTCAGGCTCTCTGTCGCTCTGATGGAGAGGAGCTGAGGATGAAGCTGTGAAAGGGGGGAGGGGGGGACATACTGTAGCAGCGTTTTGTTCATGTAGTCAAAAGTTATTTTAATCTGAGTGAAGAAAGACCAAACTTTTTTAGCTCAAGCCACTGAAATAATTTGTTAATATATTTAATAATGATCAATTTGTGCTTATTTTGTCACTGTAACTTTATTTAAGTCAGTAAGTCTCCCACACATACTGAAACGCCTCATTTGGACTTATTTGCTTAATTCTGTAACATAGTGACATCACCTATGTAACACTCGTGCTCCTATTGTCTAGCCCTCCAACACATTGTGCGTGCTAAAGGGCTGGACATCTCTAAGCAGTTGACCAATCACAACACAGCCAGCCAGCTAACCAATCAGAGCAGACTGGGCTCTGGTTTCAGACAGAGGGTGAAAAGAGGTGCTGCAGCAAAAATAGACCTTGTTGAACAATAAGGCAACAATCATGTCACAGTAGAGGCACAAAATATTATGAACCTGAACAGAATATATCATGTTTACTAAAATACAGCACCACAGTTTCATCTCTCATGGTTATGTCGTTATCTAAAAATCTCTGGTGTTTACCGCAGAGGCAGTGTTAGATATTAGACATTATGTTTGATGCATGTGAGGTTAGGGTGTGTGTGTTGTGAGGTGTGTGTGTCCCTTGTGTTGTCATTAGTGTACAGTGCTGCTGTTTGGTCTCCAAGGTAACCTCTGTCTCTCTCCCAGCAGCCTCCTGGGCCTCAGGACAGACCGCGCCCCCCTCGCCTCCATCACACATTGAGCACCCCCCCCCCCGCCCCCCGACTGTTTTTATACTGTTACACACTCCTCTTCGCAGCGGCAGTGCTCCCTCCTGGTGAAGGTACCCCCTCCCCCAACGTTAGCACTGCCCGCTAATGTTATTACTATAATTATTACTACTCTGTATATCATTCATATTAATGTTATTATTATGATTATTACATACATGTTAAGCATGACTTCGCAAAAAAAAGGAAAAAACTCAATGCTGTACATTTTTAGATATTTTAAAGAAATACAAAAAAGTATTTTTGTAATCGAAACTGTTTGAAATGTTTGATCCTGTTTAAGTGTGCAAGGAACCGTGTGTGTGACATCATATAATTATGAGTCATCATAGAATAATCAGTCATAAAACAATGAGTTATCATAAAACGAGTGGACGTAATGCATCAAAGCAGAGTGTGTCTGCTTTTCTACTTCCTGTTTCTCCGTGTGGGTACCCCATGGAGCCAACATGTACTCCTGATAGAGCTCACATGTAATCCTGATGGACCCAACATGTAGTCCTGATGTAGTCCAGATAGGGCCAATAAGTAGTCCTGATGCAGCCAACATGTAGTCCTGATGGACCCAACATGTAGTCCTGATGTAGTCCAGATAGGGCCAACATGTAGTCCTGATGGACCCAACATGTAGTCCTGATGTAGTCCAGATAGGGCCAACATGTAGTCCTGATGGACCCAACATGTAGTCCTGATGTAGTCCAGATAGGGCCAACATGTAGTCCTGATGCAGCCAACATGTAGTCCTGATGGACCCAACATGTAGTCCTGATGTAGTCCAGATAGGGCCAACATGTAGTCCTGATGGACCCAACATGTAGTCCTGATGTAGTCCAGATAGGGCCAACATGTAGTCCTGATGCAGCCAACATGTAGTCCTGATGGACCCAACATGTAGTCCTGATGTAGTCCAGATAGGGCCAACATGTAGTCCTGATGCAGCCAACATGTAGTCCTGATGGACCCAACATGTAGTCCTGATGTAGTCCAGATAGGGCCAACATGTAGTCCTGATGCAGCCAACATGTAGTCCTGATGGACCCAACATGTAGTCCTGATCTAGTCCTAATGGAGACCACATGTAGTAGTAAAGCCAACATGTAGTCCTAGTACAGCCAACATGTGATCCTGATGTAGTCCTGATGGAGCCAATATGTAGTCCTGACGTAGTCCTTAAAGAGCCAACATGCAGTCCTGACGTAGTCCTTAAAGAGCCAACATGCAGTCCTGATGTAGACCTGATGGAGCCAACATGTAGTCCTGATGGAGCCAACATGTAGTCCTGATGGAGCCAACATGTAGTCCTAATGGAGCCAGCATCTAGTCCTAATGGAGCCAACATGTAGTCCTAATGGAGCCAGCATGTAGTCCTAATGGAGCCAGCATGTAGTCCTAATGGAGCCAGCATGTAGTCCTAATGGAGCCAACTTGTAGTCCTGACGTAGTCCTTATAAAGCCAACATGTGGTCCTGATGGAGCTAACATGTAGTCCTGATGGAGCCAACATGTAGTCCTAATGGAGCCAGCATCTAGTCCTGATGGAGCCAACATGTAGTCCTGACGTAGTCCTTATAAAGCCAACATGTGGTCCTGATGGAGCTAACATGTAGTCCTGATGGAGCCAACATGTAGTCCTGATGGAGCCAACATGTAGTCCTAATGGAGCCAGCATCTAGTCCTAATGGAGCCAACATGTAGTCCTAATGGAGCTAGCATGTAGTCCTAATGGAGCCAACATGTAGTCCTGACGTAGTCCTTATAAAGCCAACATGTGGTCCTGATGGAGCTAACATGTAGTCCTGATGGAGCCAACTTGTAGTCCTGACGTAGTCCTTATAAAGCCAACATGTAGTCCTGATGGAGCCAACATGTAGTCCTGATGGAGCCAACATGTAGTCCTGATGGAGCCAACATGTAGTCCTAATGGAGCCAGCATCTAGTCCTAATGGAGCCAACATGTAGTCCTAATGGAGCCAGCATGTAGTCCTAATGGAGCCAACTTGTAGTCCTGACGTAGTCCTTATAAAGCCAACATGTGGTCCTGATGGAGCTAACATGTAGTCCTGTGTAGTCGTCCTCTATTTTTCTTCTTATCTCTTTGTTTTCTTACCTGGGACAGTTGTAGACAGATGTAGACGGGTGTATTTGGGTGGAGTTGCCCCCCTCCTGACGGCTGTGGTCCTCGCTGAGATTTCTTGTGAAGTTTGACGTTATTTTAGCTTCCTGTCTCCTTTGGTGTGACAGCAGAGAGCTGCTCGGCGTCTGAAAGAAAGCGTTTAGTCTCTTTTGTCTATTTTTAGTGATTTGCTCGTTGATGATTGGATAAAATACTCTTTGTGTGTATTCTGGGCCTGCAATAATCTTTGCTGTCTGACACATCACTGATCACACTCCTGTGACACTGTGACGACTCCTTGATGTGGCGTTCTTAGAAAAATTCGTGAAGAGGCCGGGTCACGCTGAGAAACAGTCCTCCCTGTGATGTTAAATCATATATCCAGTGTTTGTAATGAATAATAATATTAATATGCACATCATGATTTTGTTTCTACAAACATTTTTTAAGCCAAGTGTGGCAGCAGATTTACTAGAACAAGTATTTATAAGGTGTGTGTGTGTTTTTTTGGGTATCATGTTTTTAAAGTGAGATGCCCATCATATAACTCTCTGTAAGTATTCCTGTAAGTCTAACTGTATATTCCTTTGGTAATTTTGTAGAGCTTTGTGTGTTTGTATATGAACAATGATAATCACTGTGAGCTGCAGAGGTCAGCAGTGTGTACTTTGTGTGTTCCTGCTCCTCTTGTACAGTGTGTGTGTTCTCTGTGAGGATCAGTGAATTACAGAGGTGTGTGTGTGTGTGTTTGAAGCAACAAAAAAAGTGATCAAAATGAGTTTTTATGAAAATGTAAAGACATTAAAGATTGACGTCATGTCATGATTACATTTAATCTTCTCTGAGTTATTGTGCTTTACACCAGTGGGTCACTCACCAGGTAGCTTTTCACCCACAATGCATTTCCACCTGCTCAATTTCCTCCTTCCCCACTCGTTGGATAACACCTCCTCGCCCTCAGGAGGCCACGGACACCATGTGGGATCCTTTAAAGAGCTGCAGACCTCTCTCTGCCCTCTGTAAGAATAACCCGCTCCTCCTGAGACACACACACACACACACACACACACACACACACACACACACACACACACACACACACACACACACACACACACACACACACACACACACACACACACACACACACACACACACACACACACAGGAGGACAGGCCCTGTGTGTGTGCCTACGCCCCACTGGCCGCAGTTAGTAAAATAGTTTGACTCTGACAGCCCATGGGTGAGCCTCTGAAGCATCTCTGCTACAGTTAGCTTTGAAAGTCAACGGCTACAGTTAACTTTGAAAGCTAATGGTTAAAGTGTGCGTTGTGGGTTGCTAGTGGGTTGTTAACAGCATCAAACACAAAGTCAAGCTGATGGTGATGGGCTTTACTCTCCAGGTGTCATCGACATTGAGCCAGTTGTTCTGTAAGGTTTAACCCCTGATCTCAGGTCAGTGCTACTTTCAGCACGAATACACTTCACATGTCTCAGTGCTCATATGTTTAACATTACTGTAACCACAAACAACTCAGACAGCTGCTGACAGTCACATCTGTGCAGTCAGCAGATCTCCAGCACTGAAAAACAGTGACTCAGTAGCCTTCATATTTTTGCACAGTCACTGGCTGATCTGTCTCCTGTACAGAATCTCTGAGAAACTGACCCCCTCACAGCCGGGAACCCCTCCTCCTCCCCTGCTGGGGCCCCTGCTCCTTTCTCCTCCACTTCCTGTTTCTCACACACTTCATGTTGCTTCAGTTTGCCTCATGTTATCTTAATAACTAAAGCCAATAATTGTGAGAAGGATCATGTTGCTCTATTGTGTGTGTGTGTGTGTGTGTGTGTGTGTGTGTGTGTATTTGATGTGAGTGTGATATGATAACCTGGCTGATGACATCATAGAAAATATAATAAAAATAGCTCCACAGCGCTGCCTGGTGGTTATACAACACATTACATCATGTAGTAGAGTAGAAATACTCACATTTTCATATTGTATGGTGTGTTTTTATTTGCAGTAGTTTTAAACTGGTACCTGCTGAGCTGGTACCACACAAACTGGTGTCAGGGCGCCCTCCTGTGGTCACAGAGGCTCAGTGCATCTCATCTCTGTTCCTATCACTGAATGGATCCTTTTTTCAGACATCATGTGAGCAGTCAATTCATATCAGCTGACTGCAGAGGCCTGCAGGCAGCAACACAAGATCCAGACTCTAGAGCAACTGTTCATTTATTCAAACTTAAATGATCCACCAACATTAGACTCATCCACATGGCTTCATCGTCACACACTAAATATTAAAAGTAATCGGAGCAAATTAGTTTCTCAGCTCCTACCACAGCTGATCATCTGTCTGCACAGCTGCAGGAAGTGAACTGCAGTTATAAAGAGTTTATTTAGAGGACTCTTCTCTGACAACTCTTTAGCATGTTTGACTAACTACAACAGATGTGTTAGATCTCTATATCTTGATTAAATATCACTTGGTTACTGCTTCTTGAAGAGACTATTATGCTATTTGTGGTTTTACCTTTCCACCCAGATGCTCTGTAATTGGTTGGGTTGTTCACCAGCCAATCACAGTGTTCCACATCATCAAAAGTGGACGAATGTTAGGCACATGCTCATCTATTAATCATATTGTTCAATTACAAAAACTATCAGAGGAAATACTTATCAAACAAACTTTACCTCAGAAGATATCATATCATGTCCTAAAAGGTAACTATAAATACTTAATGTTTTCGAACCAAAACACAATCTTTTATAAACCTGTTCATTTGTTTGAATTCACCACGTTAACCCTGTGAAAAAGATTTAACCATCTGTATGTGAGGAGTTGAGAATGCGAAAAGGAATGAACAGGAACATGTGTTTTAATAATTTATGTTATTGATTTATTGTAAGAGGGATTACACTCACCTGTTAGACCAGTGGTTCTCAAACTTTTTTCAATAATGTACCCCCTTTGAAAATAAATTCTGCCAAGTACCCCCTGATCAGCGCAAACACAATTTGTTAAGGAAAAAATGCCTATAAAGAGGTACAGTAGCCTACAGTGCTGCACCATCAGTGTCTGATTTATTAAAACAACAACATTGTAACTGAGAAACACTTAAATGCTACATTTCAAATGTTTACAATCCATCAATAAATTCATGGCAAACCAAATTTAACATCATGCAATAACACAGAGACGTCATTAGTTGCATTGAACTGATCTTTTTAATAAGTTGTACTTACAATTTAGTGAGAAACATGGGCTTGTGCTTCACTGAGGATCTTTGTCATTCTCGATGACAGGGAGGCCACTGCAGTTATTACACTTCGCGTTTTGAAATATGTGGAACTGTTAATTATAAAACCCACACTGCTCAAACTTCGTTACTTTTCCTATAATTGGTATATCCATTTATTTATTTATTTTGGGGTGTGGGGAATGAAGAGAAAAAATATATGAGCATTTTATGAGCATGGGATTTTGACCCCTCCTATAAACCTATGCATAATATATGCTGCGCTATACTTTGCGGCCACAAGCCGTTGACAAGCGACGCTTATTGTTTCGGTGTCCTTTGATAAGCAGGCAGTCATATAATTAACTAGAACTAGCTAGATCTGATAGATTTGGACATAAACGCGAGTGAAGTATAACCGGACGCGAGAGAGAGATCAGAGATCAGGGGGTATACTACGAAGCAGGATTTTCGCTTAGCCGGCTAAATTCAGGGGAAACTCCGGCTTTCCGGTCCTACGAAGCTGGTTCTCTTTTTAGCAGGCTAGATCTCCATGGTAACTTATGCTTATCGGCTAACCTGGGGGGTATACTACGAATCTAGTTCAACCTATCCTGGATATGTTTTGAGTTATCCGGTTGACTTAATCCAAAACAAAGCCGCTCTCGCTAAACTGTCCTACAACGCTGGCTATCAACTCGTTCGCTCAAGCCAGCCGTGGCTGCGTGTCCTAGTTAGGTGCGCGTTCACATGAAAGGGGTGGTATCTGGAGCATTCGACCAATCACAAACATGGAGAAGCGTACTGACAGCGCAGCGTCATACTTCTGAATGAAAAGTCAACTATAATATTAGTCAAATGTGAAGAAGTTAAACTTTAAACATCCATGACTTAAACACTTTATCCAGGATCAAAGCCACATAGCTGCACCTGCAAGGTGAATACAGCTGGCAAAAGAAAAAGTGTTTGAATGCGTACATTAACAGGTTTATGATATCACTGCCCCGTCTAAAACACGAGTGGATCTGACTTTAATTACATTTGACTCGAGTGTTTCGTCAACTAAATGTGTTGCTTAAAATAATACTTCTGCATACAGTAGGCCTATGTGACACTGTGAGTGTTGCACAGTCAGATACGGCTCAGCTGACTCAGATAAGGAAATATATGATAGCCTACATTATGATGTGATATGATGTGATATGAATGATAATGGGACACATCGACGTCTGCAGCACTCACAGTGCCGCGGACTGTAGGCAACGTAATGTTACTTTGATCTGGTTACTTATGTTGTGGCAGATATTTAATTAAGCTTTCTTAACATAGGCTAATAGTAGGCTATAATAGTTATAATAGTCAGATTGCTCTGAAGATGGGAGGTGATATTCTATTCATTTTCACGTTCACACAGTCGGTGATTTTGTCCGGCCGTCTTTCCTGCAACGGCAGTTTAAAACTGTATTTCCTCCGCACACTGAGCTCTGATTGGTCAGCAGGCGTGGTGCTTTCGCTGAGTTGATCTCTTATCCTGGAACATATCCTGCTTCGGAGCACAGACTAGGTTCCAGGATAAGTCACCATGGAGATCTAGCCCGCTAAACAGTGAACCAGCTTCGTAGTACCGGAAATCCCAGAAGTTATCTTGCTAAACGAAAATCCTGCGTCGTAGTATACCCCCCTGGTTAGGTTGCAGGCTAAGAGCTCAACTCAGTGAAAGCACTGCCTGCTGACCAATCAGTGTGCGGAGTTTAAAGCGATCAAGTCATATTACAGGAGAAAGGAAATACAGAAAAGCTGTCGTTGCAGGAAAGACGGCCGGGAACATTAATAGAATATCACCTCCCATCTTCAGAGCAATCTGACTATTATAACATTAGCGTTAATAAAGCTTACTTAAATATCTGCCACAACATAAGTAACCGGATCAGAGTAACATTAAGTACAGTCCGTGGCATATCACTTCATAATGTATCATATATTTCCTCATCTGAGCCGTATCTGGCCGTGCAACACTCACAGTGTCACATACTGTATACAGAAGTATTATTTTAAGCAACACATTAAGTTGACGAAACACTCGAGTCAAATGTAATTAAAGTCAGATCCACTCGTGTCTTGGACGGGGCAGTGATATCATAAACCTGTTAATGTATGCATTCAAACACTTGTTCTGTTACCAGCTGTATTCACCTTGCAGGTGCAGCTATGTGGCTTTTATCCTGGATAAAGTGTTTAAGTCATGGATGATTAAAGTTTAACTTCTTCATATGTCTAATATTATAGTTGACTTTTCATTCAGGAAGTATGACGCTGCGCTGTCAGTATGCTTCTCCATGTTTGTGATTGGTCGAATGCTCCAAATACCACCCCTTTCATGTAAACGCATCTAACGTTCCGCTGTTCATTATAATAAAAAAAAACAGAGCATTAAACAAACCATACTCTTACTTTGAAATCATGCGGAAATGTCGTCATCAGCAGGCCATCACGTGGTTTCCGAAAATCACCGAGTGACACGAGTAGATTTTAGCCGAGACTGGCGGAAAATATGTCTCAAAATTCCGTGTGTGTAAAAAGACGATCCACAA